TATTATAGATATATACTATATATATATATATATATATATCAATTCGTGTGTTTGAGCGTGTGTGTGTATTTGTACACCTGTGTATAAACGAACACAGACACACAAAAGCATAAAGCCCTACTCAAACGCGAGAAAGATCCGATTAGGCCACAGAGCTTGCGGAGTTTTCACATGTTTTCCATTGCAATCGACACGTTGACGTACTCGCTATAGAGACGCAGGCAAGCATACTGATATTGTACTGTACATAGAAATATCTCAAACAGCATGTTGGTTGTTGATTGTCAAAGACTCTACCTTGACTAAACGGCACACTCTGAGATGTGATGGCTTCCTCCTGGTTTACTGTCGCGGACGAGTTACGCGACAATTTTCTTTGTGTCGGCATGTCAAGTTCGAACTATCACCCCAGCTCCTTATAATTGTAAATGTTTTCAGTTGTGAGCCTTGTATATCACCAACTATTTGAGCTGTACTCAGCTGACTTGTCTATTTTATTATTTCTCAGACTACATTTTGTTCTTATTTTATTTTCATGAAAATAAACCCCCGCAATAAAACATAGGTAGAATTCAGTCGAATGTGAAATGTCAAGCGGCAATCGGAATCACCCCAGCAGGGCCCAGATCCCGAAAGTCATTTTTATTTCTGATATCAGCTCATCAATGATCAATTATCTTGTATTCGAGAGGGCTATGAATTATGTGTGGAAAGAAAAGGTACATTTAAAGGATTCCCTGTCCCCACCATTTATCCATCTTAGCACATGTACATATTTAGCCTCTCGCATATAAATAGATACTGCAGCAGCTTTGATACATTCGATATTCTATTGTTAAATCATGACATAGCCTCCAAGACGGCAATATAAATTTAAAAAAGTAATACTTCAATGAGACTATGAATATTATCAATATTATAGGCTGCAGGTTGAATAGAAGAACACCCGCACATGTAAAATATCAACTAATAATATTTAAACAGTCTACCCGGCTTACGCGCAGCACTCTATATCTACACTAGCACAAGGCTTGTAACGCCTCAGTTGTGATATATTCACCATACGAAAGCCCTCTTTGGAATTATAGTCGAAATATTGACGCTACTACGGCCTTGTTTATACCGATCGTACTGCATGACATAGATGCACGCGGAAATCTCCTGTCCAAAATTTACTATTTATATAAAAGAGAATAGCCATTGCAGCAGCTTGCAAAAAATGCCGTTCTTGAAGTTATGCTGCTTGAAAGTGGTGCTACAAGCTCTGTCAATAGTCTGAGGACGGATATTAGGGAATGTCCACGAATATGTAAGACCTCACATGTCCACTGTGTTTATATTTTTGACTAGTCATATAATGATATAATAATAAATCCATAGACATAGATACATAACTATCTCGACACATCAAACTCTTATGTGTGGCCAGATTTCTACAGACGTGACAACCAGCAAAGTTTTGCATCATATTTTAATCTTCAAACTGAGTTGAAAATTTAACACCGAAACAAATATCTAATTTAAAAAATTGGAATTATTCGATATTGTGCTTCTTATACAAAGCCTCAATTGCTTCCACGTCTTCTTTGCAACCTAAGTAGATAGGGGCCCGGCCGTGGATGTTTGGGGGCTGGATATCCAAAATTCTCTTGGATCCGGTGGTCGCCTTGCCGCCAGCCTGTTCTACAAGGAAGGCCATAGGGAAGCACTCGTATAGCAAACGAAGCTTACCGTCGGGACTCTTCTTGTCCGCGGGGTACATGAAGATACCACCGTACAGTAGAGTGCGGTGGATATCCGCTACCATAGACCCAATGTAACGGGCGGAGTAAGGCTTGCTCCCGTCCTTAGGGTTCTTACATCCCTCCACGAATTCCTTGGTGGCCTCGTTCCATGATTGGTAGTTACCTTCGTTGATGGAGTAGATCGAGGCTTTCGGGGGTAGCTGTAGGTTCTCGTGGGTTAGGATGAACTCGCCCAGGGCAGGGTCGAGGGCATACGAGTTCACGCCTTGGCCCCAACTGAGCACTAGACTGGTTGACGATCCGTACATGGCGTATCCAGCAGCAACCATTTCTATTTTACAACGGGAACAAATCATCATTGTTGATTAGTATGAGATGTAGCCTGTAGTCTAGTGGTGTCTGTGAGTTGCGGATCCTACTTCTAGAAAATCACTTAACGAACGTTATAGCTAATTGCGGCTGCTCTCTTAGCATATTCAAACCGACATACTCGAATCAGAGAGACTGGTTGCCAATGATACATTTAACGCTCACAAGGGACATTTGCACACCAAATACAATCAACAGAGACGCAACGCCATACCTCTTCCAGGCTTTAGCGCATCGGCCTCAGAGAATGTGGGGTGATCTGATTTGTAGATACCAAAGATAGTGCCGATACTTACGCCGCAGTCAATGTTGGACGACCCATCCAGGGGATCAAAGACGACAGTGTATGCTCCCGACTTGGCCTCTGTGCGTTACAACACGTGAAACAGCATTAGATTCAGATACACAGCCCGATGAGACATTGCGCCCAAATACGAAGGTTGGTCAATGCATACACTAATTTATGAGTACAATTGTGAGTAAATACACGCGGACTATCTACTGCCACAGTGCAAACGACAATGCAGAAGACAAAAGACATTGTACGTAAAATCTACACAAACTGATCACTCGAGAAATTGTATGACTGTGATAAATTGTACAGAAACACCACTCACCCCTGACGATGATGGCTTCCTCTTGTTCTTCGGTTACCATGGAGGCAACGCGACCGCAAGAGCGCAGAGAGTTCACAAAAACGGCATCCTATTGATACAAAAATGCGAATGCATGTGTCGTGCCAAATTGAATTTAGAGAAAAGAAACAGTGTCGCGTTTGACGCTCGCGATGTATTCTCAGACCTAACCAACCTGTCTTTGTATTTTAATTAATTAAAGCGCAGATTTCAACCCAAATATGAATTGGATAGTCTACGTAACATCAGGAAGGATAATTCGCACATACACGCTTTGATAACACACTTGCAGGAGGCAATTGAATCATTAGCGTATAGGGTCTCACAATCACGTTCACAAAAAACCACTCGGACATATTGCGTTATTTACGGCGAATAATCGCATATTCACCACTCCTGTGCCACAAAAAAAAGAATAGACCCGCACAGGCAGCAGCTTTTTCTACGCAAGTGACATAACCCGAATACACTATATGCATACCGCGATAACGTCAAGCTTCTTCTGGTCTTCTCCTTGCACATTTTGAGCACCGGCTAGGCCGGTCATGTTTGCCAGACCAGCCTTGCGTACAGCAGACGATACGAACTTACATCCTAGACAGATAGAGGTCAGCAAAAGTGTGAAATCTCCGGTAGCCTGTGTGAATAGGTGTGGAAAGAGGTTTTTGGTGATATCAGCAGTATTTTTCACATGGATAATATACATATACATATACATATGCATACATACACAATGATATATACATATATATATATATATACATATATATACATACGTAATATATAATATGTATATATATAGATATATACAATATGTATATATACATATATATAATATGTATATATGTATGCATATATATATTTAACATTTATAAATATATATATAAGTAGATATAGATGTAGATGCATATATATATATATATATATATATATATATATGTAGATGTATGTCTATATATATAGGAAATTCAGTTCATTCGCAGGCTTCAATCCAAGAAACTGCATAAAGTACTCTCGCTAGCGGTGAAAAACTAGTTTGATACGGCGTACAGGCTGGCAAAAGTAAGTCGCTGCAAATAGAATTTGAAACATACTCTATAAAAAGTACATGCGGAATAAAACAAACTACCCTAGAAAACAAGGTTTTTTAAGACGAATAATAACTCAAAGACCTCGGAAAGAAAACAAGGACTCAAATACCTCAAAAAGAAAACAAGAACTCTAAGGGCTTGATAAGCGCGACAAGCACTGATACGCCACTTTTAGCTGGCAGGTGGTACAAAAGAAGTGTAGCTGGGCCATAGGAGTGCTTGAATACTGAGCGAACAATCCGAAAATAGCAACACATAATCAAAGTATAAAATATGTGAAATCACGCACGCTCTAAAACCTACGCTATAGAACTTCAGTTAAAACTTTCTTTGAGCTCACGCATCGGTTTCATAAATCTGAATCACATAAAGTGGGCACTTGGAACATAAGGGCTGGCTCGGTTTAGACCATACCTGAGTGTGTTTCTTTTGCTGATAGATCAGATGTCTCGATAACGTGATGAGGTCCGTAGACGACATCATATCACCGACTTCAGAATCTTTTTTCGACATCGTGCTATGCTTTGTGAATACCGTTCCTATCTGAACAACTGAGTATACAATACTCGTTGCACACTACGCAGTTCTGATTATATACCGAAAGTCCGACACATTTTTTTTTGTATCGAATGCATGTTTATTTTTATTTTTTTTGTCTCCTGTCTGTATTGAGTATTGACTATTGTGGATTGTAAATTTTTGTGCCACTGTTCTCTGAAATTCTGATGAGGGCTGACTGCTCAGTGCTGAGGCTCAGAGGCCGGAGCCTACGATTCCTGAGGGCGGTGGTCTAAAGGGGTCCCCGTGACAATTACTTAATTTTTGTTTTATTTTAGAATGCTATGTGATTTTTATATAAAAAAAGAAACCAAATAAGTCTGTGACTTTGAGTCTGAGTCTGTGCCTCTGTGAGTGGCACTGATCTGATGGCAGCTATGTATCAGCTATGGTCATTGGACTGAGTCCGGACTGTTGACGAGCCTGACGGGACCTCCGTCCAAACATAGTGCCTTTTTACTCTAGTGCTATTTTTTAAAAACTTAGTCTAAAAAAATCAAATGAAAATGTACAATCTCGAATGACCAGAAGATATAAATTCATTTTTATTCGCGATAAATTCAAAATCCGGAAATGTCATCGTATCTAGTCCAATAAACCATTTTCGGGATAGCGATAGAAAATCGACTATCGTGCGACTAGGCTTCAGCTGCCAGCGGCCAGCCTGTTTTAGCCTCGGGCTGAGGCAAATTCTAAATTAAATTCTCAGACTCAGACTCAGACCCGGCACTGCCACAGGACAAATCATTTCTGTGAGGACAATCCCAGAGGCCCAAAATAAAAAATGGGCTTGAAAGCGTGAGGTCGAGCTTGGAGCAAAGGAAACTCCCGTCAGAGGGCAGTGGCTCCTCCCCAGGGCCAAATGCCCTGGGCGTTGGGCGCCCCAGGCCCAGACTTTATTGACAAAATTTTGTCACGATTATTGACCAAATAAGGCATCCATTGACATATTAGTACATATGTGTAAAATACATACATATTTTTTAAATGTGTGTACACTGTACACAGTGTGTATTTTGTTTTTTATTATTTCAAAACAAAACAATAAAAGCAGATTGAGACGAGATAAAAAAATATTTGTATGTATGTATTTACATACTGTAGTTTTATTGTGTAAATATTATCAGTAGAGGGCAAAAAAAATGGTATGTATCCTAACCTATGTACGATAAATATATCGTCTCTGCGTTGTGTCTGACTTCCGACAGTCGACTCTACACAGTACTCTAGAGCAGCAGCGAGAGAGAAGGCCTCATACGAACAGGAGAGGTTCACCTGTTGTAGTAGTGCTAAATATGCGAATGCCGCCTAGGCAGTGGCAAGTGAGCTTATAAAACTCTTGTCCAATATATAAAGACCCTTGGTGCCTTAGCACTCCAACAAAGGCACTACATACGACATATTTATTGATTGTTTATATATTGATTGCTTATTTATTGATTGCTTATTTATTTTGTATTAGTCCTTCATGTAATTACCCAATTACTTGCACGTGTATGTATCTCTTACTACGTAGAGATGTTAGTGGTTTCTCTCGTATACACAGCTGCTTGTAACGTAAAAAGTAGAAAAGTAACACATAGGCATAAGCTGGAATTAGACAATATATGACTTATAATAACCTGCCGGATCTCCCTTCTCCAAATTAAAACTTACTGTTGTAACGACACCTCTACAATTGTATTTCAATGTGTGCACTTGTTGCAAACGTCACAATTGCGAATATTAAATTTTCACGTAGCTATTCTCTCTAAAACTATGGTGAATTAGTAAACCGATTGGTTCGTACATACATTTAGAACTAAAATACACTTTAATAGAACTTCCAAAGCAACAATATACACTATATATTTATATATATATATATATATAGTCTATGCATATGTACAAGTGTATATTTTTGTATAAGAGTATGCTCTATTTGCGTGTATACGTTAATGCAAAATAATATATATTATATATATATAGAGTGCATATGCATTTATATATATATATGTGTATATATATAAATACATATTATTGCATTTACCTATATACGCGATTACACATTGCATAAACACTCACTCACACACATATATATATATT